AATGTTCCTAGATTATTCTAGCTATAAGAATATTAGAAAAGACGATTAAAATCATGAATACCTGAAACTAAAACTTTTTGAACTCTGCTGATGAATCCGTGAGAGTAGGGTATCCGAAGGGGTCACCGGAGTTATGCCTCCAAAGGAAGGTGATCATAGGTTGGGTGGGCATACCGCGAGCACAACAACAGCCGTGTTCTCGCAAAATTAACTTTCTCAATCCTTTATTTTCTTTCTTCAAATCTCTAGTCTTCCTCTCTTTCCTTCCTTCTGAATTTATTTGTTTTCTATTCCGGTTTAGTTCTAGTTCCTTTTCTTTTGTCGCAAGCACGCTCAATTCTCGATTCTTTTAATAATAAAGCGCAGAGGTCTGGGTCAAGCAAGACCACCACCCCCAAAGCCGACGAGCTAGAGCCGGATACTATAGCGTGCCCCCGCAGCTCAGATCCTCAGTAACCCGTCAGATTTTCTAACGTTACACGCTACACAATCTGAATGATTTATAGAAAATGCGTGCAGACGAAATATTCACATTTAGGGGGAAAAAACATGCCTATGGGTAGGCGTAAATGAAAAGATCAACAAGCTAACCGATTTGGATCAGTAAGTCTGCCTTACTTAGTCGGTGTTTATCTGTGAATATCAATGAAGACTCCCACAATTTCGACAGTCATTGTTGACTGTCGTGTTTATAAATAGTTTTTAAAGCGATAAAGAGAGAAATTATGTTTAAGAATCCAAAATCAATACTTTAAATTTGAAAACTTGACCCGCTCTTATGCTCCTTTTAGCTATAAACTTAATTTTTCCTGGCCATAATTAGGCAGCGGGTGAACGGGGAAAAGTTGCTGGTAAAACAATATCTGAAGTGGGGCAAAACATTTCTCGAACTGTCACAGCCAGGAAGAGAATGGGCACCATAGCAAGCGAAAGAAACTGTGAAACCCAATGGACTTGTAGCTACCTCATACGACCAAGATCCCTAAAAAAAAAGAACTCGAAGAAAAAACGAAAGAAACGACTCCCTAGAGCGAGGTTCTTCTTCTTCAATTTCTCACACAAACTGTATATAATATTTATTATGTTGGCATAATAAATTGCAACATGAGGCAGATTCATTTTCGCACTTGCGGACATTTTTCATTTCGTTGCCCGCCGGGCAGCAGCTGCTTGGACTTTTGTGGGACGACAGGAAAGGTGCCCGGGAGTGGGCTCCAAGCCGAATGTGGGTGGCTTCCGGTTGGTCTTTCAGGCTGGTATTTCCTGTGGTGGTGGTTGAGCGCTAAGGAAACCATTGGCGCCACATTTACGACGTCACCTCGCTGCTGATGAGCAAAAAGAAACTTGTTGCCGTCTTTTAGTATGGTTCAGTGCTTAGATGGAAGTTCAAATGTCCTTTAATTAATAAGGGTGATTAAAATTATATATTTTTAATTGTATATACCAACCTTACAGGTATCTTGAGTAAATATTTAAAAATAGTTAATGTAAGTCTTTCCTTTCAGTGCTCAACCTTTAATTTACTTTCCTTTTATTAGTAAAAACAACCTTATTTTATTAAATTCGTAAAATATATTTTTAAGTAGTTATTTATATTATTTATAATTTACAAAAATGTATATTTAAAATAGAGCTTTTATAAAAACCACTGCACTCGTTTCTCCTTTGCTGCAGTTACTTTTATTTTTGGAACATTTTTTAATGAACTTTTTCCTTGTTACATGAACTGTTTAAAAAAGAAAAATAATAAAATATATATTTATAATACATTTTTAAAAGCTCTCCATTTGGAACCACAAGACCTAACAAGCTGTGAAATCAACAGCTCCGCCGCAAGTTACCTTTCTTGGCTGCTCTACCTGTTCCTGGACTGTCATGTGCCCTGGCATGTGCACATTTTAAAAGGGAAATTTAATAAACCTTGTCCTATTTCATGCTCATTAGTGCCATGATAAATTGTGGAGCCACGTAACCGGGGCGCGGAGGAGACCGTCCCGGACCGAGGCCATTTCTCAGGTGAGACTGCCACAAATGGAAGGGTAGAGAGTGGTAGAGTCGGGGAAGAGGCCCATGTAAATGTGGTCCGGGTGAAAGTTCAAAGGCCAGATGCGGCGGCGGCGGCAGCGGCGCTTAACTGTTGCACAATGCACGACCCTCCCCCCAAATGGCCATAAATTAGAAAAGTTCGCCTCTGATGCGGACAAGTTGCCTTTGATTTGCCAGTTTTGCTTGCCGTTTTATAGCCGTTTAATGTGCTGACATGTCGGCAATTACACGAGAAAGATTGTCTGCGATTGGGGGGCGGGAAATTGAGAATGCGGGAAATGGAAAATGGGGAGAGTGGAGGATGAAGTTCATGGAGCTCACATAAATTCTAGCAATAATCTCATTGTTTTCACATGCGCTTCATTGCGCGGTTTTTATCACGCATCGGGCGAGGCGAGAACTGAACGGAAAATCGAGACACTTTTCCCCCCATCTGTTTTCCTTGTCTTGTTTTTTGTTGGTTCTTATTATTGTTGTTTTTGTCAACAAAGTTTTGCAGACACAATATGTCTGCGGCAGTCGGTTGTCTACTCCATATATATGTATATATATATATATATATATATATTATCCCTTCTCTTTTTTCAGTCCGATTTCAGTCCCTTTGGCTGCTTCCATCTGCCAACTGATGTAGCTACTTTTATGGTTGATGTTATTACTTTTTTTGTTGTTGCCTCCGCTGATGCCCTGTTTTCCCATTTTCCTGAATTCCCCTCTATTTTCCCTGCATGTTTCCCGAGGACTGATACTGCGGCATGCAACAGCATAAAAAAGTTGAAGGTTGAAGACAATCTGTTGGGCGAGTAAAAGATTTAATACCGTGGAATTAGCTTATTTTGGAGTTTTATTAAAAATAAGGAGCTTTATTTATTGCCTAACTTGACAGGTTTATATTTCGAAATAACTTTTATTACCAAGTTTTAATCTTCTAATTTAAAAAAAAGCTTTGACAGTGAATGCAGATAATTTCCTAATGGGTTTGTATGTTTGAATTACACTTATTTTTATAATAAACTTTATTTATATTTCCCTATTTTATGATTAAGGCAATACATCTTAGCCTTAAGCTAAATTATAAATTAAATATAAACAGTTTAAATCCTTCTACATGCTAGAGATGACCTTCTCTTAGTAAGGGTATCTAACATAACTAACTTTAGTTGCTGGTTATTATTGTTTCTTTTTGTTTACTATTTTTTTTTTTTTTTTTTTTGCTAGTTGGAGCGTTGCTTTTTGCCTTTGTGGCTGCTGCTGCACTTCAGACGTCGCCATCCTCGTGGTTTGGCGACGACATTTAAAGCGCCATGAATATGCAAAACTTTTACACTTGCTTTTTATGCGCAAATGTATAAATTGAGGAAAAAATGAAGAGGCGAGAGGAGAACAAACGTTGCTGCTGCCGCTGCAAGTGTATTTTTTGTTTGCTCTCTCCGGGCTCAGCACTATTAGTCGCCAACTGGCAACTGGCAAGTTGTGCCGGCAGGATGCTGGATGCCTGGATTCTCGCCCCCTTCGTCGCGTAATAATTCTTCAATAATAACGGAGCAGAGCCCGGCGGAGGCCAAAGCGTTTGTCGGTTAGGTGGGAAATGGGATCCGGCAGATCCGGCAGCTTCGAACCTTCCTCCGTGGCAGCCAACTCCATTGCGGGCTATAAAATAAACACTCACTCACTGCTGCCACCGCTCCTTGTCGCGTTATCCTTTTTCCTGCAGCTCCTCATTGTGCACAGAGAAGAAATTGAGGCGTTTTTTAAGTTACAATTACAAGATGTTTATGTAAATAATTAATTTAATGCTCTTCAATTTTAAGAAAATAAATAGTTAAGTATTTTATATTGATTAAATAATAATTGGAAAAATATTTATATATTATTATGTTATATATAAGAATTTCAATTATATAGATTACTTTTAATTAGGCATATTTGCGAAATTTTTTGCTGTTTAATACAATTTTTTAATATATGTATTTAAATTAATATTTTTCAATATAATACAAATAATAATTATTATTATTTAAATTATAATTTAATAAAATGGAAAAAATAAACAAAAATTTTTTTCTAGTAAATTTAAGGTAATTTAATGAAATAGTTAAATTTTGTTGCGTGTTTGCAGTTTCTTCTTGCAGTTTTTTGTCGCTGGCTGTGGTTTAAGTTTTCCTTCCACTTTTTCTGTTCTTTCCTCTTTCCTTTTTTTTTTGTTGCATCTGCGGCTTGGCGAAATTTGTTTGCATTTGCAATGCAGAATTAAATTATTGCTTCCTCTACGCCCGTTTCTGTCTAACTCGGCGACGCAACTGTCTGCTGCTGTTGCGGTTTTCTCCGTTTGTTGCTGTTGTTGTTGCTTCAACTGCTGTTGCTGCTGCTACATATTGTTGCTTTGCTTACCGCAGCAACATTATCGCCGGGCTTTTGGCCTGTTATTTGAACGCCGCTTGGAGACACGGAACTTGTGGCTCACGGAAGGACTATATTGATTGGACGGCTATTCAGAGCTGGCCAAGATAAATATCCTGGGTCCCCGAACGCCATTCAAGATGTTGCCGCAAGATGTTATTGATTATTAAATAATAACATTAAATGATTTAAGGGAAAAGGGGAAATATCAGCCAGATGGGCGATGTAATTATCAAATAAAAGTTGACAAGAGCAACGACCTAGATTAGTTTTATAATAATCTACACTACGCACTCTTTATTATCTCATAATTTCTGTTTTTATTTTCAATTTTAAACAACATTAATTTCAAGACCCCCCATATAAGCAGTATAAACACTGATGATAACAATTAGATTATATAGTTGTAGTTGTGACGCTTCAAAGGTCTTAGACCGATAGCCAACCATGGGAGATAACGCAACACAATATTGCGTATACGTATAGTATAGTGTATATACATGAAATCTAGTCCAAGGGGGTCTCTGGCGATCTTTAGTTTGCAATTGGCTTTCGACTGAATAGCACGTAATTTTCTGACAGAGAAAACAAGTTTTAAATATGGATTTGTCTGGCAAAAATGTGGTTTACTTTGGCGGCTTCGGCGGCATAGGCCAGAAATGTGTGCAAGAGTTGCTTCAGCGAAAAATAAAGGTAATAATTAAATTTAAAATACAAATATATCATTAATATAATCTGCTTTTTAGTCGTTGGCAATTTTTGATTTAACAGAAAATAGCCAAGTGCTGGCTGAGTGGAAAAGCAACAATCCCGACACAGATATATTCTACCAAAAAGTAGACATCACCCAAAAGTCAGACATTGAGGCGGCCTACAAGGCCACCGCCGAGAAACTGGGTCACTTCGATGTGGTGGTCAATGGCAGTGGACTGATGAACGATCGTCTGATCGAACTAACCATTCAAATAAATCTGGTAAATATATTACTTATAAATTTAGTTTCTTATTAATTATTTTACTATTTTCAGCTGGGCGTAGTTTACAGTTGCCTGACAGCCCTGGAGTACATGGACAAGACGAAGGGTGGCCATGGTGGAGTTATAGTGAATATATCCTCGGTGGCTGGACTGCAACCCACGTCATCAATGGCCATTTACTCGGCTGCCAAGACGGGAGTTACCACCTTTACCAGGGCCCTGGCTGTAAGTTTAAATTTATAAAATTAATAAGCAGTAATCATAATTTATTAAAATTTTTATCTAGCACCCAAGTTATTATGCCCGCTCTGGCGTGGGTTTTATTACCGTATGTCCCGGTTTCACTGACACTGGCCTTTTGGACGATATTCTTAACAAGACGACCTTCGAATACCAGCCCCCCATGATGGCCGGCAAGGTAAAGAAGCAGACTGCAGAGCAGTGTGCTCGGAGCTTGGTCGGGGCCATAGAGACGGGCAAAAATGGGGCAGTGCTGCTGCTGGAGCTGGGTGAGACCCACGAGGTGGATATACCAAGCCATTGGAAGCCTCAATTTGAAGATTGAATATATTTTTTTGGTTGAATAAAAGATAATATATTAAAATTGGTTGGTAAATTAAAAAAAAAGATTTTTTTCTTAGAAAGTAGAAACAGATTAGCTGAGAAACATAAATATGGATTTAAGGAAAGTTTGTTTAGCAAACAAAAAAGATAATTAATATCTTAAAAGCAGCCTTAACTACTATCTTTACTACAATGTATGCTAGGTTTATCTCTATCGGCACGCTTTTATGAGTCTTAAGATAACGTTTTAAGCGTAGAATATATTATGATAATTAAGTGATTATCGCTTATAAACAACCTTAGGTATTTGGGTTATCATTGAAACCTTAAGTTGTCAACTTTTATAAAAACTTTCCGTTCCCTATTTCGCCTCGCTAAGCACTTCCACCGAAAATAAGTAAAGGAATTTCGTAAAGTTTCTTTTATTTGTGCAACCATTACTTTTTTTTTTTTGGCACATCCTGAATCTGTCGCTGTCCTGTCGCTTATTTGCCGCTTTGCATTCATTCCAAATATTTGCCGCCACATTTTCACAAACAATTTTCGCATGCATACTTTGGCAGAGTCAAAAAACCAGTCGACTCCAGCAAAAAGCCAAATCCGGCAGCAACTGTCTTAAGTCAGGAACCCAGGACTAGGCGAGGATACACACACATACACATACAACAGGTCACCCCCTCGCAGCTCCCAAGGTTCCTTAATGCGTTCCCCTAAATTATGCGCGGCAGTTGGAAAGGAAAAAACGCGGATCTGAAGAGTAGAAGTTGGTAAATCGAAGTGTCAATACCCTTAGAAACTTAACTAAATTCATTTTTATTTAATGTTATTCTAAAATATTATGTATATATTATATTCGAGGGCAATATAACTATATCTAATTTAAATATTTATATACCAATATAAATCTATCAAAGTCACATGCCTGCTTCAAGGGTATTTGCGCGAAAAGGGGAAAAAAGAAAGCCGAGGAAGGAAAAGTGGCGACGAGGTAACAGCTCGGGTCCTTCCTGGCCAAGTTTCCCAGATTGTGGCCCCCAGTCGTGCCCATGCCCATGCCCATGGTTAAGTTGGCCCGGGCATGAACTGTGACCCCGGACAGGGAGCAGAAGTCAAAAGCGTGCGGGGGTTAAATATGTTTTTTGTTATTTATGCAAATTCGTTTCTGTGTTGCCAGCGACCTGGGCTTTGTTGTAAGTCATAATGGCCTACACATGGCGGGGGATCGGGGTGGTCTTTCCAAGGGGGGACAAGGGAGGCTAACCTGTTGGCATTCGGGCTTCGTGTTTATGTGCCAAACACTCGTGCTTTCCCCTTGTTTTATGCAAATTTTCCTAACCGGCCGCATTTTCTCGTCCATTTTTCACAGGAACTCGACTCGACTTGAGCCTGGAAGCTGCTGAGCTATCGCCGCGCTACTCGCTCTACTCGCTCTGCAAGTTTGTCTTTGCCGGCATTCTATTTTCCCTTGCTTCATATTTAATGCCCAACAATAGGCTTGAATAATGAATTCGTTTCCCTGCGACATCCAGCGCACACATATACCATAATACCGAGCAATATACTATGTAGAAACCCCCGCTCAGGGTTCAATATTTGACACTTTGGGGCCAGCACTTTAATCTCAAATTTTGTGCCAGACCTCGCACAGAGTTTATTAGATTTTATGTCATAATTTATAATATGACCGGGCCTACGAATTACTCAAGGACGAACAACAGCAACATCAGGACCAGGAGCACCAACACCCAAGTTGTTAAGTTGCCAGGTCGAGGACATGGGTAATTCCTACTGCTTCTGGCTGCATAATCACGAAAAACACTCGAAACATTTTTAATTAAAATTTGTGTTGTGTTTTGGGCTGAAGTGTTGGGTCGGCCTAATGGGTTACACTTAGGGCGTGGCTGCAGGTCAGCCCTCTTTGCATTAATTTATGTAAGCGCAAGGGGTGCCCATAAAATTAAATCAATTAAAACGAGTTCGCCTACCTGGTAACTTAATGAATACTAATTAATCAGATTGAGCTTCAAGGAGTGTAGTTTTGTATTAAAAATAAATGTACTAGCTAGTAATTATAGCAATTATGGTAAGTTAAAAGTATGAATACATTTTTCTTTATTTAAAAGTAGAAATATTTAGAAAACCTTGAAGAACCCTAAGTAACTTTAGCAAAATAATTATACCCTAATATGCCTCCTTTTCAAAATGTTTATGCAAGAAGCCAGGTAAGTACAGTGCACACCATACACATATGTAACGTAATAAAGCACCTAGAGCTGAGGTATGCACAAGGACACCATCACTAAGGAGCCTGCTTTCATTTAGAGGGCAAAACTTATCCTTTCGAGCTCGGAGGCTGCGTTGTTTCGGGTAGTTAGTCTCATTCACGCCGTTCCCGCATGTGCGTGAGTTAATTTATTTAAATCTCACTTGTAATTCATATTTCAGTGGAAACGTTGGGCGCATAATAAGCAATGCCAAGGCTATATGGTGAGCTACGCACTGCGGGCACTGGGAACTAGTGCAAAACATTAAGGATCCGAGTTCTCAGTTCCGCTCGTTATGTGCTGCTATATCCTTGTGTGTGCAGGTGCAGGTGCGTGTGCGAATATTTGAGACATAAATTTGGCAAATTTCAGGACCCCAGACTGCTGCTACGTGTTGTTGGCCTGGACTCGTGCCGGGTGTAAATTTGCAGATAAGTAGCATTAGTTGGGCCTTCCATCGTGCTGCCTCAGCACGGTTATTATGTAGTTAACGAGTGTTTATTAGCATTTTAATTACCTTTTGGGCGCGTGAAAGCTGCGCGCATTAGTCCGACCTTTAGTCGGGGATCTGACGGCGCGGCGTTTTCGGTTCTGGTGGCAATTTGCCCCGGGGACTTGGCCGACAATACATGGCTAAAACTTTAATTATGTTTTCAATGTTTAATGAGAGGCATCGGCTTTGAGCGTTGAGGGGTCTCAAAATATTTACTCATTTCAGCTGGTGGATAAAACAATTCAAAAGTTTATTTGGTTTGGAATTGGATATACTATCTGCTAGGGGGTACAGTAAAAGTTAATTGTAAGGGACTTTTGAGTACAAAAGAAGAAGTTATATTATATTTATTTAGATGTTTAGCGATAATAAAAATTGATAAAAATTATACAACGTAAGAATAACTGATAAATAAGTTAAAGCAAACAGATTACGAAATTCTTAAGCTTAGCAAACACACAAAACTAACAATTTAATTATTCGAATCCCCTTCAAAAACAAGCATTTTCACAAAAACCCTTGAACTAAACCAATATAGTTACCATTGCTTTTTGGCAGCAATAAGTTTGGCTCCAACTTTTCCGCCATAAAAAAGTGTGCACAGGGTTTCAATTAAGCGGACTCCACTACAACGCGTTCCATATGGTCCAATAGTGGAGAAATATTTGCATTGCGCTAATAAAAGCTAGGGAAAAATTGCAAAAACTAATTGGATGTGCAAGGGGTGCTGAAAAAAAACCAAAACACAAAAAAAAAAGGAGAAAAACGCAAGAAGGATGAGGTATACACTACGCCAAGGTGGGCGTGGCCTGAGGGCGGGGATGGTTGCTTGTTAAAAGTTCATTAAACTCATAGAATGCTTGTAAAGCGAGATGATAAATTAATCTACAGCGGGCAACGGAGCGCGCTATTGAGTGGGCGCAGCGAAAGGGACAGAAAAACGGGGGGAAAAGCAGTGGTGACAGCAGGGGGAGAGCTAACATAAATGACGAGTTTAATTTGTATGCAAACAAGTTGGCGGCGTCGTCCCGACACAAACACGCCAAGAGGACGATGTTGGACCTACAGTAATTACGCACACATTTAAAGAAATGCAACATGAACACTCACACACACACACAGAGAGACGGACAGCGGGGGAAACAAGATGGCGAGGTAGCCATGATGGCTGCTAACTGTTTCCGCTTGATGCTGAGTGACGTGCGAATGCCAGGAATGAAGAAGCAACACAGCAACAGAGAGTGCCAGAGAAAAACAGAGAGACAGAAAGAGAGAGGGAGAGAGAGACACAGGGGCAAAGTGCAGAGAGAATTATTGTGATGAAATAGTGTATGCATTAGTTAACGTTAGAAGGGGGCGAAAAAGCATTTTACTTGGGGTCCATGATAATGCCGGCGAGGGGACTCTAAAGTAATGATGCTGAAAACATGGCAACTTTGTCATTTGTCGTCTCCCTCGAATGCTGAAGATATTTCAGAGTAAACTGTATGCATTTTGCATTAAATGGGTCAGTATTATGATGGAGTTTCTAACAAAAAAAAGCAAAATGAAAAAAAAATACATAAAGTCAAGAAAAAGGGACTCCCTTTTAATTTTACTAAGGAGAAAAAGTAAAGCAAAAATACAAGAAAAATAAAAATATATTAAAATCCAACAAATGCGATTAGTTTATTTTATAGTTAAAGTAGGAGTAGTAGTAGAATGAAAAATTATAGATAGATATAAATAGGAGAAAATTGCTCTACATACCCAAAAGTTATTTTTAAATCTCTAAAAGTTTTCTTAGTTTATTGAAAGAATTTAATAAGAGCTTTAATTCCGATCCCTTCCATCTAAGTGACTCAAATTAATTAAGAATTTATTTTTCCATTAAACAAACGTGTTTACTAATTAAACTAAAATTAAAGACAACAGCCATCCAATTAGAAAATACTCGGACACCATGGCGTATGCGTGATATTTCAAGGAATAACTTCGATCCACCTTTTAATTGGATTCTTGGCAATAAACTCATTCGCTTGACTGGCAGCCTGCGTAATTAGCATAAACTCAAATAGTTAATTAGCGTAATAATTGCCTTCATTCAAACGCACAAAGAAAGTGAGGATTTTAATATCGAATGGCGTGAGAGCAGGAAATACAACGAAGGCGAGGCGAAGCCAAAAACCAATGTGTAGCAAAAACTAAATCTATTGGCGTCTTAATTAGCGTGCGTGTTCAATTACAATCAAGAAAGAGAGAGAGTCAGTGCTGGAAAAACCAGAGGTGGAGAGTCCAAGGGAACCTAGCCATCCGAGATTGGGTGG